ATGATGATGAACCTGAAAAAGAATGGGCAGTGGGGAGAGAATTAATAAACTCTTTCAGTGAAAAATAAAGAATGCTTACCACTTCCATGGCACCTGCAGGCTGACTCCAGGTGTCCATGTACCACTTGGAAATCTACATGCAGTCACAGAAGCTGACTGTCTCCAGCATCACGATGTTGCAATTGTTACTTTCCTGGATACTTGAGCATTTGCAGATTATTTATTTGCAAGTGGTGGACCCACAAAGACTTGGGGGAGGGGCATCTCATTTTCTCCTGTATCCTCTCCCCCATTATTTCCATTTCCCCTTCCCTGAAAGCCCCCGTAGCCTGTCCCCTTTTCCTGCTTCCTACTCGCCTTCCCATCCACCAGCCAATCGACCTTTATCTGCCCCCCGCCCCATCTTCAGCTTTTTCTTCCTTCCTTCTCTTGGGAGCCTCTCCCTGGAAAAGTCTGGCCCACTTGTGTGGCAGCTGCTGGGCTGGGCCTAGTTGCAGAGGGAGTCATCCTTCAAGAGACACAACAGGGGAGGGCTACAGGACCCTTTCCAGTGTTGTTTGTCCTCCAGGTCCCACTGCTCCCCCCCATGGCCTTGCTTTACAAAATCCAACGTTTTGAAAGCTTAGCAAAATCCAGACTGAAGACACCACTCTGTCCTGAAGGTTACCATGGGATGTTGGGCTAGTCATTCTTTCTCATCCTAACCTGCTTTGTGAGCAGGGCTGGTGCTACCGTTAAGGCCAAGTTAGGCGACCGCCTAAGGGTGCAGGTCTCTGAAGGGCTGCAGGGGCCAGCAAGCAGGGTGAGGATGACAGCGAGAGCAGCGCTGATGACGAGCAGGAATCCTCGTCTCCGGCCGCCCCAGGGCTCACTTGATGGGGAGAAAGAGAAGCAAGGAGCCCCATGCCGTCTTGTCAGTTCTGCGCTGATGCTGTGGGCATCTCTCCCCAGTCACCCTCGCCACCCCTCCAGGTGCCCCTGGGCCTGGCATGCAAAGCAGGGCTGGCCGGCCATGGCCTGGGGGACACCCCCCCATGTTGCAGAAAGACGGGAGGAGGAGCCGCTCTTTAGGCTGCCTGTCGATCCACCCAGGGCACATGCCAGTCCTTCTTGACATCCCCCGCCCTTGTGCCTCGTCCCACTCCGTCAGTGCTTCACCATGGGGTGCTGAGGTAAAAGAGCCGCCCCGGCCTTTGGGCTACCCAAAGAGCATCCTGCCTGGTGGGGCTGGGTGGCCATGAGCGTCAGTCCTTCCTTTTTTAATGTAATAGCATATTCCCCTTCTGCCATTTATGTTGGTCTAACTGGACAGTCTATAAATACAAGAGACTAAATGGATACAAACGCAACATTAGAAATGGAAGACAACTGGGGGAGGGGGATTTCAGGCTCTGTGGTCATGCAGATGTAAAGACTTAGTGACTGCAGTTAGCAGGAAAATCTGGCAGACCCCATGGAGAATAAGCTGAGTTGGAATTCACATGCAGATTTGACACTGTCAGACTTGGGCTGAGTAGGGACTTGAGTTGTTCCTCCTTGCAAGTTTATGTGCAGGAATACTCCACACAGTGTTACTTCTTGAATTCTGTTTTGTTACCGTGCTCTTTGTTCAGCCTCGACAGAAGTAAGTGTCACCAGGTCAGCAGTGGTGCAGTGTAGCAGCCGCAGACAGGGCAGACAGCCCTCCCACCCACCTGCCCCTTGTGTAGCTGGCTGGATCCAACCCAGTATTAAGATTTTAGGCAGCCTTTCTCCCCACCTGCAATGGCTTCTGGCAGCCACTGGAGGAGAGTTGTTTCCTACTGCTCATCTTGCCCAGAGGATAAAATCCTAGATCCTCAATTTCTTCCCCCTGGTACTTGTAACAGTGGTGTACAACAATCAAACCTATCGTTAAGCAGTTGTCTGATGACCATCACTTGTAAGGTTGCCAGGCTGCAACAGGCAACCCACAAGAGCATCATGGGAGCTCTAGGATTTACAATGTCTCTATGGTTTCACTGGCAGTGACAGCACATTGGTGCAGCCCCCCCCCCTCCACCATTTCAGATATGAAGCTGCCTTCTACTGAATCAGGTCCACCAAGGTCAGTATTGCCTGTCTCCAGGGTCTCAGGCATCACCAACTGCCCGGTCCTTTTATTTGGAGATGCTGGGGCATAGAAAATAAATATGCCTATATGCCTTGTCTGGAGTGCTGTTTTTATGTCCTGATTTTTTTTAGGACATAAGTGGCTTGGGGCCATTTGATTATGATGTTGCATACTTAGTAGGTGGTGGAGGGTTAACAGTTACAAAACACTACATTAATATCTTTTGAATGTACCCCATTCAAATGTTCCTCCCAGCCTACATAGTTTTGATTTGTGCTGCCCTCTTGTGGTTATTATGCGGACTACCTTGTTCTCGAACCTCCTCCCCAAACTTTCTTCTCTTCCTGCACTGTGGGCCGGAGCATCAGAAGTTCCACCCACCCACCCCTTACAGAAGTAAGGTCTGTGAAACTTTTATAAGTTGTCTGTCTCATCAAATGGCTCCCAAGGGGGTGTACAACAGCAGTGGCAATACATAAAATATACTTTGCAGACCATAAACAGTCTGACAATACAATCTTGAACCACTGTTAAAATCTAAGATTACAGCAGAGAACAGAAGATATGATATCCAAACAGCTAGCTAAAATAACCAAGGGCACACCCACATATACAAATACACACACTCTCTAATTAAAGAACTGGCTAAACAAAATCTTCACCTGGTATTGAAAGCTAGATAAGCTGGGCACCAGATGAGCTGCTGTGGGAAGGGGATCCTGTGTTTACCCAGGCACCGTGACTGCAAGGCTCTGTCCTCCCCAGGGCTGCCTGTGGCCACAGAAAGCAGGGTTTTTTCCTTCCGATCTTAGTCGATAGGCAGGCTCCTTTGGATTTCCTAGCCCTAAGCCATCCGTATTTATTTTAAAACCTTCTGCCCTTGCTTTTCTTCCAATGGGACTCAAAGAAGCATACAAAAGGAACTTAAAACAGCAGTTCAAGAATAAGCACTTTAAAATGATTAATCATAGTAACCCATAGCTAACAATGGACAATCTTTAACTCAGCTACTATAAGCCCCCTAAGAGTCTAAAAGGAATTGCTTGCTGCTGGAAATACGGTGCTCACCTGCAAGAATGGTCATGCCACATTTTTTTTGGCCAGCATACGCTTTGAAGCAATAGAATAGGAACTGGGAATATTCATCCCTCATGGTTAGTCCCCAGCAACCCAGGGTGGGGGTGGGGTTTAAACCCTATCTTGTCTTTTTTTCCCCCCAAATCAGTTTTATTCAATTTTCTCATTAACATTAACAACAGGGTTATGCAAGATAGGCATATACATATAATTAACATATTTTTCGTTATACATACAAAAAGTACTTTAATCAATCT